TGAAGATGCTATTTGGAACATCCCTTAATTCACACGGGAGTGACTGGGCTGGAATTCTGCCTCCACTGGTTTACTCCCACAGATGGCTGCAACAGCCAGAGCTGAGCTGGTCTGAAGCCAGGAGCTTCTTCTGGGTCTCCCACACGGGTGCAGGGACCCAAGGACTTGGGCCATCTTCTGCTTTCCCAAGCCACAGCAGAGTTGGATTGGAAATGGAGCAGCTGGGACTTGAACTGGTGTCTAAGTGGTATGCTAGCACTGCAGGCGGTGGATTTAAACTTGCTGTGCCACAGCGCCGGCCTCTCAGATTTTTCATACTATGCATTCTCCATGAACTTTTTGAAGACTTTGTATGTGTGTGTGTGTGTGTGTGTATGCATGCATTAAAAAAATTTAAGCCAAAATGAACATCTTAACTCCATTTTCCACAAATGTTTTCAAGTCTCCTCATATAAACTTTTTTTTTTTTTTTTTTTTTGACAGGCAGAGTGGACAATGAGACAGACAGAGAGAAAGGTCTTCCTTTGCCGTTGGTTCACCCTCCAATGGCCGCCACGGCCAGCGCACCATGCTGATCCGATGGCAGGAACCAGGTACTTACCCTGGTCTCCCATGGGGTGTAGGGCCCAAGTACTTGGGCCATCCTCCACTGCAGAGAGCTGGCCTGGAAAGGGGCAACCGGGACAGAATCCGGCACCCCGACCGGGACTAGAACCCTGTGTGCCGGCGCCGCAAGGCGGAGGATTAGCCTAGTGAGCCTTGGCGCCAGCTAATAATTCGATATTTTACAATGAAGTATGACAACATTTAGCAGTTGAGTAACTACCACTGTTTTTCAAGTGGCCAATACATACTGCTAAAAAATCAGGCACAGGAAAAGATGAATTCAAACTGCAAGAGATACCAGTGAATTTTATTGTAATGGAGTGTGTCTATATCAGATTCTACACTGCAACTATCTTTTAATAAACTGAAATTTTACTAGTAATAAAGCATACCCACAATTATCTAAAAAGCCTGTTCACACGCTCCTCCGTCTTCCCACTACACAGGATTTTTTTTCACAAACCTGAACTAAAACAGCATACTGAATGCAGAGACAGATACGAGCACCCATTGTTCTCTCGTAAGCCAGAACTTTAAAGAAATGTACAAATCTAAATACCACCAATACTCCAACTAATGTTATTTTTGTTGTTTGGGGAAATTGATTTTCTTAATCAAAATTGAAAAGTATCAGCAAATACATAGTTACAACATTTGAAATTCCTGTGGGTTTTTTTTTTTTAAAGATTTTTTTTTTTTTTGACAGGCAGAGTGGACAGTGAGAGAGAAAGGTCTTCCTTTGCCATTGGTTCACCCTCCAATGGCCACCGCAGCTGGCGCGCTGCGGCCGGCGCACCGTGCTGATCCAATGGCAGGAGCCAGGTACTTCTCCTGGTCTCCCATGGGGTGCAGGGCCCAAGCACTCGGTCCATCCTCCACTGCACTCCCTGGCCACAGCAGAGAGCTGGCCTGGAAGAGGGGCAACCGGGACAGAATCCGGCGCCCCGACTGGGACTAGAACCCGGTGTGCCGGCGCCGCAAGGCGGAGGATTAGCCTAGTGAGCCGTGGGCGGGCGCTGGTCCTCATAAACCTGCAGGGAAATTAGGTAGCAAGGTGGCAGTAGGGGAAGCATTAACGCAAAGGAATAAAAATGCTCAATAATGAAGTCACAGGCAAAGAACCTGCAGGCATTGACACAATCATTCAGTGATGCTAGCAACAATTTCATATTAACCTAACTGAAAACTTAGATGACAGGGATACATTCTGTTACACAATTATGAAAACCAAAGCATATACCAAAAGTATCTGAAATAATCCTGTGCCTATAAAATAAAATCTACAAGTTAAAACCTCTACACTCAAAAAATGATTTCACTAGTAAATCTTACCAAAATAGGTAATTAAGTCCAGTTTAACCCTGTGAACAAGTCTGTAATTCACCAGATAGCAAAATATCGAAAGGTGAAATATTGTAAGCATTCTCTTTGAAATAGGGCAGTTGACTTTTCTATGCAGAAATACATTGGCTGTCTTAGCCAGTGTACCACAGCAAACACAATAAAAGTGTCATTCTGATTATCTATGTTATGATGTATGATAAAGTTCACAAAAAAAGTTTTGATAATTAGGAAACAACTTTGTAAGATAGCATAAAAGCACATTTTGTAATAAAAGTTTTCTAGGGGCCAGCGCTGTGGTGTAGCAGGTAAAGCCACCGTCTGCAGTGCTGACATCTCATATGGGCGCCAGTTTTGAGTGCCAGCAGCTCTACTTCCGATCTAGCTCTCTGCCTGGGAAAGCAGTAGAAAATGGCCCAAGTCCTTGGGACCTTGCACCCATGTGGGAGACCCGGAATAAGCTCCTGGCTCCTGATCGGCGCAGCTCCTGCTGTTGCGGCCATGGGGAGTGAACCAGCGGATGGAAGACCTCTCTCTCTCTGCCTCTCCTTCTCTCTCTGTGTAACTCTTTCAAGTAAATAAATAAATCTTAAAAAAAAAAAAAAAAAAAAAGCAAACTATGAAACAAACTGCCAAATTCATGGACAGAAGGCTCAGTATTTTAAGTGTTGATTTCCCCAAAACTAGTCTATAGCGTCAATAATGATCAAATGCTCCACAGGTTTTTCTCTGTGACTTAAAGGATAAGGCTCTTATCTTTGACTATATTACGTCACTACACAACTCTCTGGAATGTAACAAACCATACAGAATAGGATCCGATGCAAAGGGTACTCTAGAGCAACATTAAAAGGAGTCTTTTCACTATTTGGTGCTGCTACAATTAGGTATAAACATGCCAACAAGACAACACAACACACACAATAAAAACAATTCACACTAAACAAGTGGACTGCAAAACTAAATAGGTCACACAATTTTCTGGAGAATACCAAAAGAAATTCTCTTTGTAGCTCTAGTTTTGGGGAAAAAAATTAAAGCAGGGCATATATAAATCAGACATGGGGCCGATGCTGTGGCAGGACACAGGCACATAAAACATTCTAAAACGCTACATATACGTTAAAATTATTCTTAGACAATTTGCAAGGCAAATGAAGGGGTCACATACAAAACAAAGAAATCCTACTAATGTTATTGATTTTTGAAAAGACCAATGGAAATATGGACTCTAATCAAAGCACTTTATAAAAGAGGAATTTACAAATGGCCAAACTTATTTATAACCTGGAAAGGCAAACTAAATACAATGAGAAATCAGAAAGGCAAAATTTAAAAATAACAAAGGCTGATTAAGGTATGGAAGCAACAAAAACTTTCCTACCTTCATTGATGGTTCCACTTTTATATAAATACCCACAGAAATGCATGCACATACACATTCAAATGTAAAAATACGCCACAATATTCTTAAAGCCGTATTTGTAATTTCTGCAAAACTGGAAGCTGTATCAGCAATCAAATACTGTGTGAGGAGCTAGAAAGACATGGGGAATACTACACAGCAATGCAGGTGAGTAACAATAGGTGCATCCAAGAACCTGGATGAATTTCACAAATACTGAGCAACAAAAAATCATATATATGTGTATATATAAATTCCCCTCTTTTGGTTTACACAGTTCACAGAACAAGTGCACCTAAGCATGTTTAAGTGGTAAAAACATCAGAGCAATTACCAGCAGAAAGTGAGAACCAGCCAGGTAGGACTGCCTCCTGGACCGGGAAGAGGGTAGCACAGCCACTGGGGAGGGAGCATGTGGAACAGCAGTACTCCCCTGGCTCCTGATCTGGGTCGTGGTTACAAAGACGCATGCTTCGTAGTAATTCACTAAGGTCTACATTTTATGTTCTTTCAATAAAAATTAGATCATGACCATTTCCTTACTGTGTGCTTTCTCTCCTACTATTGTAATTGCAGAATGCTTCTGAGCTCTGCATTTATCTGTCCCTCGATCTTATGGTTTGGCTAGGATTTGAGTGTTTTCCCCAAGGGTTCATGTGTTGAAATGTTAACCCCCCTCCTTGCTAACCCCTGTTGTGATGTATTAAGAGGTTGGAGATGCAATCAACTGGAGTGTTTTGACACACAGCCTTTAAGGGAAAACTTGGATTAGGTAAAAATCATTAGAGCAGAGCCCAAGCGACACACACGCAACCCATGATCCTCGTTTCTTGCCATGGGATGCCTGCACGGCCTTGAGACTGCATGGCAGCCCCTTGGCCTTGAACCTGTAGAATCATAAACCAAATGAGCTTCTTTTCCTTGTAAGACTACCCAGTTTCAGGTACTTGTTACAGTAATGTAAAATACACCACTACACTACACCTACCTCCACTGAGGGTCCTGAGCAGCAAGGCAGAAGCCTGAAAACCCCCATCAAGCAGCAGCAGCTCCGGCAAGACAAACAGCTCTGAAGACCGGTTGCAAAACAATGCACTTAACACTACCAAACCCAACACTTCAGTATGACTAGTCAATTTTACGTGCGTTTTGTGACTTTTTTAATGGAGCAGCTCAAATTTTATGATCTTATGGCCCCTTTCCTTTAGACACAGGATGCTCCTCTAAATCCAGTATAGATTCTTGATCACGGCCTAGGGGCTTAATGAATTAAAACTCTACAACTACAAACTCAAGTAGTAATAATGCAAGTCTCAACACTGAACTGTGTCTTTGGACCTGCTGCCTCCCTGCCCTATTTATACTATAAAGCACTACAGCCTAAAAGCTATTTTATAGTTTAGAAACTTCATGGTCACAATCTTCAAATTCCTCTGTGATACACAATTTCAGAGATCATACATCAAATGAATTTGGAGCTCTAAACAATGTTCCAAGCCGGCCATCGTGTGTGCCAATGAATTCAAACTAAAACTGCACCGCTACAGTGTGGTGTTCTAGTGCTTAAGCTTTGTGAAAGTGAACAAGGAAGGATGTTTGTGCTCAGTACTCTGTAACTCCTTTCACAAACATTTGTCAAAGACAACACTTAACACAAAATTTGAATTAATTTTATTTCCCCTACAGTCAACAACTTCTCTGCATTTGAATTTTAAAGCAACAAAGTAAAATAAAATCCCCCAAATGTCAAGGTATCAGAAATCCAGATTTAGTTACACTTTATTTGTGAAAATGTTCAGCCATTTTATTGGTCTGTAAAAGAACCATCATCTGGGTCAAAAAAGGAATTCTATAAATCAAAGAATATTCTACACCTTGAAAAAGAAAATCAGCAGTAACATTCTCACTGAACATTGTAAATTACAGTTTTCTTCATAAAAGGTACATACTATTCTGCACTTCTCCACCAAAAGCAGTGGTGTGTTATGCTTGTTATATATATATATATATATAAAAAGTTATATCCTGTGGCAGGAAAACCTTTTCTCTTTCACTAAACAACTGGAGAAATTTTTCAAGTCTGTATAAAGTTGCCTATAAGCTGGAAAGTGAACATGTTCAATCTCCATTTATATTTTAGTGCATTTTTTGACAACTGTCATACTTAATAAAAGTAAGAAAATGCATATAGCACTAAAGAGTGTTTCATCAAATGGTAAAGGTATTAAAAAATATGGAGCAGAGAACAAAATCACTGTAATGGATGGAACTCCTATAAGATGAAAAAAAAATCCAGGCAAAGTTTACAAATCCTTTGTCATTCTATAGCGTCACAGAAGATGAACTTTGGATACCTTTCCACCCGAAAGGTGTCTGCCTAAATCTTGCATGTAAACATAGTGCTAATCTCCGTACAAACTGCTAAACTTCATCTTGGTAAGCAACATTCTGTGCAGTCGCCATGATTTCCAAAGGATATAAATTTAGCCCTTGAATGAACAATAATGTACGCAATCTGCTCTGCACGTACCTGGTGAAAACATACGCTAACAGCTGTAATAATGCATCAACATAAACTACTGGAATCAAATAGCTACTCAGAGGCCCACCTTTCAAAGAGCACACAGTAATAGAACATGTACATTTGATGAAACATTCTTTGCACTGGAGAAACATGAAAATAAATATAGTTCAAAGAAGTGTAATTACTTTTCTAATGCCTCTTCCTCATACATGTACTACTTTACTGGTTCAGCAAGCTCTCATCACATTTTATCATCTGTATTTTACATATTGCTATTTGGGTAATTCAAATAAATCCAGGTCTTGTAGAAGAAGGAAAAACACTGACAAGTACGCATGTGCCAGGGACCAGATCGGAGGGCTCTTTGGTGCAGTTAGTCCAAATTCTCAGGTTTGAAGGATAATATGTACCAATAAAAAAATCTGCTGCCAGACGTGTGCAGCAGTGCTCTGTCTTGCTTCACACTACAAATTGACAACAGCTGTTCTCAATAAGCCAATTTTATTTCTTAAATCAGGCATTGCCAGAAAATTTTGTACATTAACCTGGACCAGTGATGGTTCTGTACCCTCTGTTGCTGTGAAACACGACATGAGCAAAAGGCAAAGACCGGTTCTCACAAGGACAACTGCTTCAAGTCAGGAACCAGAACATTGTGTTTAAACAGTCTTCTTAGATATTTTCTTGCCTTTTTTAAAAACTAGCTTATTTTTAATGTAGCCACGCTTCCTTTTGGTAGTCTAAAAAGAAAAAAAGAACACATGGTGTTAAGTGCAGGTTTTCTAGACTAAAATTTTGGTGATCGCATAAGACTATTTTCATAAACTCATAGCTTTTCCTATGACTGGACTCCTTGAACAGTGATCACCACTGTTTTACATCGAGAAGTCCAAGACGACTAGTACTGGGTCCCTAACTTTTAAGACCAACGAACGATCAGAGCATTTCTCAAATGCACATCACACATGAGCGAACCTCAACCACTAAATGCTTAGCAATAATGATTACTCAAATTTCCAAACAGGACATAATATAACACTAGACTAAGGACTTAGAAAATGGTAATGCTACTCCTGGTTTAGTCTCTAGGGAATTAGTTGTGCCTCAAAAATACAAGTCAGGGGTAGGCATGGTAGTTAAGACACTGCTTGGAAACGCCTGCATCTGTTACAGGAGGCACCTGGATTTGAGTCCCAGCTGTACTCCCGATTTCCAGCTAACGTGCACCCTGGGAGGCAGCAGGTAAAAGCTCAACTGTGTCCCTGTCACCCAGGAGCGATGTGGATTGAGCTGGTGGCCTTGTCCTGGCCCAGTCCCAGCTTTTGCAGAAATCTGGAAAGTGAGCCAGCAGATCGATCTCTGTCTACCTGCCTTCCAAATAAACAAAATTCAGAAATTCAATTTAACTTAGTAACTTTTAGAGCCCAGGGATGACTGCACTTTTCTACAACACTGAAAGACAAACTCCACAAAATAATCCTCTTTTAGGTAGGAAAATAAGGACTTAAAAATGAAAAACAACATTCCTTGATTCTCTGAGATTCACTTTCCACAGCAATCCAGTATCATTTTCCCTTTGTTTTGTTAAAGTTCTCCATCTAGCTACGAAGCCCCTCATCTGGTCTTTGGCTAAAGGGAGTTAGCTTTTGGTGCACTTTTTGCTTTATTAAAATTTATTTATTTGAAACGCAGAGAGATCGAGAGCCAGCCAGCCAGCCACAGACATTTCCCATCTGCTGCTTCATCCCTCAAATGCCTGGCATGGCAGGGCAGGGCCAGAGCAAAGTGAGAGCTGTGACCCAGGTAACTGTGTCATTGTCTGCTGTCTCCCAGAATGAGCTTGGCAGGAAGCTGGACTTGAGAACGAGCTGGGACCAAACCCCAGTGATTCCATTATGAGAGGTGAGCACCCCCAGGGGCATCTCATCCACTATGCCAAACACTTGCCTATACTAAAATACTTTCCCAATACATGCTTCCTAGTATAATACACAAACTGCTTGCAGTTCAGATGCCCACAGTCCACATCAGGGTGCCTGGATTCCACACTTGGCCCTGGTTTTTCACTTTAGCATCCTGCTAATGCAGACCAATAAGAGGCAGCAGTGAAGACTCAAGGGACTGGGTTCCTGCCACCCACATGGAGATCTGGATTCAGCTCCCAGCTCCTGGCATTGTCCCAGCCCAACTTGGGGCTGTGGTAGACATTTGGGGTGTGAATCAGCCGAGTGGAGCTTTCTCTGTTTATCTCTCAAATTAATTAAGAAAAAAAAATACTGCAAATCTGGTAGAAATTACTGCAAAAAATATTCACGGATCAAATAGGCATATATGCCTATCAATCTGACGCACATTCCTAGATAATTTATTTTTTGGAAATAAGAGATTTAATGAACACACAAGTGCTAGGTTAGGAAAGGCTGAAAGACTCAAGAGATTATTCAGTTTTCACATTTATATACAACGCATAGATGATGTGTCAGAAACTCAGGGTAAATGCTGCAAGGTGTTTCTTTATATTCATGATGTTCAGTTCAAAACAATTTTTTCTAACAAGGAAAAGAACACAAGGCTAAACAAACCCTTAAGACTACATAAATTAGCCATTGTTAACTTGTTAACCAAATAGGTCACCTTATTATTAAATAAACTTAGACAAAAAGGAAAAAAAAAATTGGAGAACACAATTTTCAAAATTAACGACTAGCCCAAGGAGTTATTTCCTTTGTTTTCATTACACAGATTTCTTTTAAAAATTATTATTACTTTGAAAGGCAGAGTTTACAGAGACAGAGGGGGAAAGACAGATCTTCCACCCACTGGTTCACTCCTCAAATGGCTTCAATGGCTGAGGCTGTGGTAGGCTGAAGGCAGAAGCCTGGAGCTCCTTCTGGGTCTCCTACAAGGGTGCAGGGGTCCAAGCACTTGGGCCATCTTCTGCTGCATTCCCAGGTGCATTAACAGGGAGCTGGATCAGAAGTGGAGCAGCAGGGACTTGAACCTCACCCATATGGGATATTGGCACTGCAGACAGAAACTTAACCTGTGATGTCACAATGCTGGCTCCTATACAGATTTCTAATAAGAAATATTTTCTCTAAGATCTTGTAATGTGTCTTAGGACTGTGCAAGAATGTAACTGAGCCCTCAGGGTATCCCCTACCCTGCTCTGGAAGTGAACCATGCAAACCTGGACTGCAATCCTAGTACCTCAGCCATGCCAGCTTTGTGGTAGAAGGAAAACTCCCAGAATGACTGTTGTACCCACAACCTCAAAAGTCAAAACCTTTCTCCAAAGTCAAAACCTTGGTTTGGAAAGGAAGACAAACACAAAACAAGAGGCTAAAAATGCTTAAACAGATATTCAAAGTCCACGTTACTAGCTACTAGAATATACGTCCTAAGCACACAAATCTTTATTTACCCTTTCATACTTAATTTATATATGGTAGGAAGATAAAAGTTCAGAATAAAAAACTTTATACTACATCATCAGTTAGGAAGTTCAACAGCACCCCCCACATCTTTTGTACTTTTTTTTCCAGAAAAAAAAAAAAAACAGATTTTTAACCAGGTTATGATGCCTTTGGAGTGACTGCTTTGGGACAAGCAGCATTTGCTCTGACTTTTGCACTGGTGTGACTCACTAGTCTGTCCTATCTTCATGCCTATGGAAACCCAGATCATTTGATTTCTTTGTCGTTTGATCTGAAGACTGGTAAGTGAATTTGATAGCACAAACACAACAAGGGCCAGCTGTATGTGGTGTCTTTAAATACATTAGTCTAGATAGGTAGTCTGTATCTGGCACAGAAAATACTCACACGAAAAGTCTCTATTTATGTATCATAGCACTATTCATCACTGTTATATAGTACAAACTGAAGTCATCTGTATACTGAATATATTTGATGTATATTTTAAGTGACAAAGGGACAAGGCAGTTGCTTCTATGACTTAAAATAGCTGATCCACCTTACATAAAAGTAAATGCCCCTTCAGAAAGACGGAAATCAGTCTAATAATAATCAGTAAAATTAAAACTGTACCTTATAACATTTTAATATTTTCACTGCTCATTATTTCCAATCTCCCACAGCTCCACAACCTATATTAATATCCATTTTTAGTAATCTTTCATAGCGAAGATTAGAGCTCTATTTAGCTTAAGTGAGCAATAATGACCCCCAATAAAATACTTCAACTTATTAAATATTTACTAAAGGATTTCAATAGTCTCATAAACCTTTCCTATAATCTGTCAACAATGATCACATTAAAAATAATTAATGTTAAGAGAAATTGGTTTTTGCCTTAGAAGAACTCACCTAACTGAAGTCCATTTTTTTAAAAGATTTATTTATTTAGTTAGTTAGAGAGGCAGGGTTACAGATGGAGAGGGGGAAGACAGAAAGTTCTTCCACCCGCTGGTTCACCCTCCAAATGGTTGCAACGGCCCAAGGTGGGTTGATCTGAAGCCAGGAGCCAGGAGCCAGGAGCTTCTTCTGGTTCCCAAGTGGGTGCAGAGGCCCAAATACTTGGGCCATGTTCTACTGCATTCCCAGGCTACCAGCAGGGGGATGGATTGGAAGAAGAGCAGCTGAGACTTGAACCAGCACCCATATGGGATGCTGGCACTTCAGGCGGCTGCTTTACCTGTTATGCCACAGTGCTGGCCCCTTGAGTCCATTCTTTATTCATGAATAGTATAGTAACATACTAAGAATGGAACATGAAGACGTAATATAAACTTGTTTATCACAATTTTACTGATTGACAATTTGATATTTTTACTTTCACAACGGTTTGGAAAATGATGGACAGATACAGCTTAGTTTATAAATAAATCTTACTAATGAGAATGGCATAAACTAAAGCCTCAATATTTCTAGAAAAATCTCAGCTTAATTCACTGACTACTACCATGCCAGCCAGAAGCTGCTGCTTTGCAATAATGGACAGGGGAGTCTGGTATTCAGTTTGTATATAAACCTAGTTTTCAGTAGCTCTTCATACACAAACCAATCTTGACTTACTCTTTTATAGAGATGGCTTCACTTGGGGCTGGCGTTATAGTGTAGGAGGTTAAGCTGCTGCCTGTGAGGCTGGCAAGTCCCATCTCCATATAGGTGCTGGTTTGTGTCCCGGCTGCTCCACTTCCAATCCAGCTCCTTGCTAATGGACTGAGAAAGCAGCGCAAGATGGCAGAAGTACTTGGACTCCTGCCATCCACGTGGGAGACCTGGATGAGGCTCCTGGCTTGAGCCTGGCTCAGCCCTGGTCATTGCAGCCATGTGGGGAGAGAAACCAGAGGATGAAGACCTCTCTCTCCCCATCTTTCACTCTGTAACTTTGACTTTCAAATAAGTAAATATATCTTTAAAAGAAAGAAATAATGAAGGAAGGTTGGAAGGAGGGAAGGCAGGCAATATGGGGGGAGCGCATGACTTCACTTGACACGCACCTTCTTTGACAAATACTTCTGTTTTGGGAAGATGTTGGTGACTCGAGGTTTGTGATCCAGCGTTTCCCTGTTATCAGGAGCTTTCACTTTATATATCCTGACAAGCCAGTGTTCTGATGTAAAGGCTTCTTCTAAGTGTTTGAATTTAATGTCCTTGTTCCCAATCTCAGCATTACGTGTTCGGTCAAAACCTGGGGGTGTACGAAAGTCCAGCTGCAAAAGTAACATTAGTACTGGATGTTAACCATTTGGATAACACAGTGTTAGAAGGTAGCAAATGCTATCATTAGAGCAAGGCTCTTTCTTTAAACAAGGAAAAGAGAATCAAGTCATACATCTTAACTGTTCTCAAATACTCCTACCTAGACAGGTAGAAATCAGCAAGAGAAGAACTAAACACATCAGAATCAGAAATTCCTAGAATGCCTAAGAGCAGAGGAGCAGCCTACAGTCACAGAGAAACCACACACCTGAGCAGTCATTGGATATGTGATTAAGACACCCACATTCAACACTGGAGTACCTGGGTTTGATGCCCGTTTCCAGATCCTACCACCAGCTCTTGCAAACACAGACCCTGACAGCAGCAGTGACGGTTCAAGCAACTGGGTGCGTGCCACCTACTTGGGAGATCTGGATAGCATCTGGGGAGCCTGGGTTCAGCTCCAGCTATGATGGACATTTGGAGACTAAACATGCAGTGGGAGCCTGCTCTTTCAAAAACCCACATGTGCATGCATGTATGTGTATACACACACACACACACACAGGAAACAAACAAAAAAATCACCCAAAACCTAAAACACCAAGTGACTTTCATCAAAATCCTTTGTGTAGGTACACAAGGCTGGTGCTCAGAAGGGTGCCCTGCTCCGCCTCCTGCCTGCCTGACACGCCGTTTTTCCAGTTCTTTGGCATGACTGGCTGGTGCCTGGATTTTAGCCCAGACAGCACCTCTACTTTCCTGAGGTGGTTGTTTGATAAGTCTCTCCCATTACTTCCTTACAGCACCTTGTACTTTTATTCTATGGGCATACACTGCTAACATTTTTATGTATTTTTAACATTGTCTGTATTCTCCAGCTACATGATGACTTTATCTTAGAAGTGCAGCCTTATCTCCCAGTGTTATTTCTTAAATAAATACAAAAGGAAGCAACACTACTGTATCCTGAAAATAGGAACTATAGGTTAACAAGCCAAACAACAGGAGGATTGATTCACAAAAAATAAAAAAAGGAAAGAAACAGTGCGGAGGGAAATTACAATCAACTGCATTCCAAAGCTGGATGCCTTGTTCTTATTTATCTACATAACAGAATCTGTAGTTCCATTTAACCCTATATTATTCTTGATTAGAGCAGGCATCAAAACTGAACACATACCAGAAACATGACTTTAAAACTGCTAATATGAGAGGTAAAAGGGGCCTTCAATGCAACCATTAATGAACAGAGAAACTAATGGTTAATGCCAGAAATTAATTCTTAACATGTGGTGTTTCTTTCTCAGCATGAGTTTGCAGACCAGGCAATGACCTACAAAAGAAACAAAAGCCCCAAAACCTAAATCTAGGTTTTCATGTTTTGTGTGTGTCCCCTATCTGCAGGGTAATTCCAGGTGAATAATTACGACAGACATCTAACAGTATGGATCTACCTTGAAGCCATGCTCTGAGCAAGAACAGAGCAATAAGCAAACTTTTTAAAAAACTTAGTGCTTTACAGAGCTACAGTGATATTTTACACAAGAATAAAACCTAATTCACAAATTGAGGTTTTTCAAACCCCTTCAATTTGGATAGTTATATTGGGCCTTGGTGACAGCATAAAAGTTAAACAAGCAATTTATGCTCTGATTTTAGATAATCAACTTATCCACAAGTCAATTTGGAATTGAGCCGTTTTCACTGAATTCTTGGTAAGAAGGTAGTAACTTGGTATACAGTTACGTAATCTAAAAGCTATTAAAAAATCTTTGAAATGGCTGAGGAGGGAAATACTATTTTCCTCAAGCCTTGTGAGTTTTTGTCAATATATTAACAAGAGAAAAACAAAGTTCAGCAACATGGGCTGTGCACCTCACACTTAAGAAATCTCAAAAAAATCAAACTCAAGAGTAGTTTAGAACTATAGCTCAGAACAGCGTGAGTTTGTAGAGAAATGACAGAGGAAAATGGTTCTGGGCATCCAAGGCAGAAAAGTGAGGGAGGTTAACATAACTAAGAAACTAATGTAACGATGTAGATTCCTCTGGTGCCTTCGCTGGGCTGGTTAAGAGTGAACTGTCTTTAGGAAAGGAGGATTTGTATCTTGCCTTTTGGATAGTTTTTTCTCCATTTGATGCTTTGCAACTGCCTTTGTCTCAAAAATTTTTATGCCATAAAGGAATATCCTGTCCAAATCCCCATGATTTACAGATGAAAACTAACAAGTCTTGGGAGGCTCTAAATGTGAGGGTTACACAGATTGACAGGGCCAGATCCCCACACAGGAATTATGACATCAAGTCTACTGCTCTTCTTGCTGCTACAATGCCTCTTTGCGTATTCATTTTGCAGACTTTTAAGCTTTTCTATCACATCCTTCTAATTTAATGGGACACTCTGAGCCAGGCAGTTCTAGCCATCTGTGGTAATAGAGAATACCAGTGGACAGCTGAAGTGACTACACATTTCAATCTAATTTGGGACTTTTTCCCACCAAGCAGCAAAGTGCCTTACATAACACCATTTCCCCGCTGGGAGACCTCTCCCCTGGAGAATGATGCCTTCCAACAACGTGAGGTCAGAAGGCCGGGTGGCAAGCAAAAGCTGGACTTGAGACTAGTGTCAATAAATATTTTGGAAAGAAGTCTTTGATCTAAAATTCTGCTTTCTAATTTCTCACATGAAAGTTTCAGAAATCTAAATTCAATGAAAAAGTGAATCTTTAGATAAGTACATTTCTCTATATAGTGCAGTCAAAAACATCATTATCTTGTTTCCTAGACACAAAGACTTTTAGAAAATATTCTTTTGAATAAAGATCACAGGGAAACCAATGTAACTAACCTGCATTTCTCCAAATCTGTAGTATGACATTTTATACATAAGGCAATTCAACAGAGTGGGGGATCCTGCTTTGTCTACCCGGAATTCTCCCTGTGGGGTGAAATAGTCACTTTCCTAGAAGAAACAAACCAAAAATTGCCTTGTCAGTTCAATTTAACACATTCAAAGTGATATATCAGTTTTTGAGGTGTCTTTATAAAGCTATATTCAGTTACAACTAAAAAAGCCCAGATTTTTACCCATGTTATGAAGCTTTGGAACGATGAATGACACCCATGCCATGGTTTGGCGTCAGGTGGGCTGGATCTTCCCAACAACTGTCCTGCCCTTATCTCCATTACTCCTTCTGAATTCCTGTAAATGTTCTTCCAAAATTTTTCCATACAGACTCTTAAAATGGACTTCTTTAGTTACGGAGGGGAATGTTAGTAATTTCAATCAGGTTAAGTTACAAATTGGCAAGATAGCTTATTCTGATTTCTGACTCAGAAATTCCTCATTTAGGAATTTACCCTACAGGTAAATGGCTGAAATAATGAATGTAGGAAGTCATTTATTGTATCCTTTTGAAACTACATAAACTGGAAACCACTCAAATGCCCATGAATAGGGACAAGTTAAATAAATCATAGCCACACAAAATGGAACACATTGTGCAAAAGTAAAAAAAGGAACAAAGTTCTCCATATTCAAACAAAGAAAGATTGTCAAGATGTATTATGCACAGGTTACACATCTTGCTACTAGTTATCTGTTTGAATAAGAACCACACAAAGCAGCAGAGATTACCAGGAATGTTTTTCTTTTTTAACTGACAAAATCCTATACATTTCCAGTGTACATCATGTTTTGAAAAACACATACGTGGTGGAATAGCTAAATTAAGCAAATTTAAGGTCACCAGTGAGGGTTCAGAGTGAGTGAGCAAGCACACAGCACGGTTAGAGTTGCAGCCCCAACTCTGCCCCAACCCTGCCTGTCTCATAAGGAATTAGTCACAGATTCCAAATAAAAATTAGGAAAAGACATATATTACCTCACACATTTAAGTACTTGTGGTGAGAATACTTAAAAATCTATTGTCAGACAGTATTAATTATAGAAAGACTATTTTTTCTTTTTGGAGGAGCTAAATATTTGCTACATATCTCTACTTTTTGAGTGAATATATTGATTAATAAAGTTTAAAAATTAATTTAGAAAGCACAAAAATTTAGGATTTCTACATATATAAAATGTCAAAGCATGTATCTGGAAACAGTGATCTATCATCTTCCACATCATAACATCGTAACTTGGCATTGCTAAGGCACATCCACAAATGAAAATCTCAAACCAAGAGTTCAATTTAATAGATTCATTTAATACGAGGCAATAATGCTCATTATCACAATTTAGGAAAATCAACACATCTGACCAGAAAATCCAGGGCTTTATTAATTCATGTTCGTCACTAAAACAAATGATTTTCCCCTGAATGACTCTATTATACTGGATCAATAGCAAATTTTACTCTCATCTTTTTTTTTTTTTTTGGCATGACCATTCTCGTTAACAGCTCTCAGGTGAGTAGGAGAGAGAAGATAAAATCTTCTACATAAATATGCAATCTAATGTTGAGTATAGACATGGGTGTTCCAAAACAGGTTTCCAGAGAGGTAGGTAACAAGTCCATGGGAAGGAAGGAGTCCAAAAAGGAGACAGTAAAAACAAATGTAGCAGATCAGTTGAGGATTGAGGGGACAGTATATTGGCATAGTGGGGAAAAAGCTGGCAGAAGAAGAAGAGATCAGCAAAGGAAAGCGAAGCATAAAAAGGCTCATGGGGGCCAGCACTATGGCATTATTAGGTGAGGCCTCCACTTTGACCCAGCAGCTCCACTTCCAACCCAGCTCCCCGATAATAGCCTGAGAAAGCAGTGGAGGAGGCCCAAGCACTTGGGCTCCTACACCCACTTGGGAGATGGGAAAAAGGTCCTGGCTCCTGGCTTTGGAATGGCCCAACTCTGGCCACTGTGGCCATCTGGGGAGTGAACCAATGCATGGAAGACCTTTCTCTCTCTCTCTCTGTAACTGTCTCTCAAATAAACTAATCTTAAAAAAGAGGCTTGTATTCCATGTTAAGGAATTGGGACTATTTACAACGTTTCATCATAGAGAATATTCTATTTTGCATCAGCCAGTAGGCTGAGGCTTCATCCACATTACTAAAAACTTACAACAGCACTACAAATTCTTGATCTGTCCATTACTGATAACCTAGTCTGCATTATCACTCTTATATCTCCAGATACTACAACAAGATCCAGCACTCAAAGCACATATACTGACTGGCTTAAATTAACTTGTACACAGAGGACTGGTGCTGTGGCATAGCGGGTAAGGTCACTGCCTGAAGTGCTGAAATCCCATATGGGCGCCAGTTCAAGTCCCAGCTGCTCCACTTCCCATCCAGCGCTCTGCTATGGCCTGGGAAAGCAGTAGAAGATGGCCCAAATCCTTGGGCCCCTGCACCCTTCAAGGGAGACCTAGAAGAAGCTCCTGGCTTTGGATCAGCGCAATTCTGGCTGTTGCAGCCATCTGGGTAGTGAACCAGCGGTTGGAAGACCTCTCTCTCACTCCGCCTCTGCTTCTAACTTCAAATAAATAAATACATCTTAAAAAAAAAAAATTAACTTGCACACAGTACCAAGCTGACAGAGTTTCCATTCTTAACACATCTGTCTGGTTTTAAGGTCTTTCTCCATAATCTGCTGTAGGCTTCTAAGCCAGGAAGTGTTTAATGATCAGTGTCATATTACACTGGGAGAGGGAACAAAACGAAAGCAAAGACAGCAATTTCAAGGGATCTCTTCACACGGCAGAATGGGAAGTATCAGGGAGGAGTTTCAAACTGCTCAATCTAGGAAATGTCTCCAGTATGGTTAATAAATAAAGTCAGAGTAAGTGACTAATTTGGGGGGTGGGATGAAAATGAATGTAATTCGCAAGATAAGGAATTCCTTGGACATTGTAAGCTGTTTTTCATATACGTGAATTATCTTACCCGAATGTCTTTTGGATGTTCCCCTTCAGCTATCCTAACCATCCAGAGAAACTTGTTGATATCATCACCAGAATAGCCAATAACCCCTCCAAAAATAACCAAAACATAGTCTACATCCAGAGTCCTCATTATCTTATAGGCTGCTGTTTCATTAGAAGACATAGCTTTTCCCACCTAGAAAATAAAATTAAAATGAATATACACTTTTACCTCAAGATGAAACTCAACTTTTATATTTTTGCAGAAACTACTTACTATAAATTCAACAAACTTACTAAAATGTATAAACATCTCACCTACTATAACCAATTTATAGCAGATATGTCAAAATCAAAATGTGTTCTAATATCTTGCTAGTAATTAAGTTTTAGGAGATTAACATATTAAAATCAGAGACAAGCTCAAAATAGACAATTTCTTACAACCCCAGACCACAGCTGGCAGTGATCTTGCTAGCACATGTCTATACATTCTTCTATCAAGTGTAGCAGCCAGCTGACGACTAGGTAAAACACTAAGACAAATTACTTTAGCCAAATAAAACCTGGTTATCAATGCAAAATATTTAAAGCACAAGGAGGTGATTATCTTAATTTCTGCAGAATATTTTTAATAAAGAAAATACCATTTGCATAACAACCAAATACACTGCCTTTGCTTTATATATTTGCAAATAACTTTCTTGGTTTATAACACAGAAAGTCAAACATTTTTAAAGTTTCCAATTTTGCCTACCTTTCCAGTAAGCTGAATTTATTATGAAATCTACCAGAAATCAGGCTACAATTCTGCTTACATACTATTCTTAAAAACAAACAAGCATATTTTGAACTAACTTTATTGGATACATGTGTAAATAAATTTTTTTTTTTTTTTTTTTGACAGGCACAGAGTGGACAGTGAGAGAGAGAGACAGAGAGAAAGGTCTTCCTTTTGCCGTTGGTTCACCCTCCAATGGCTGCCACGGCCGGCGCACCACGCTGATCCGATGGCAGGAGCCAGGTACTTCTCCTGGTCTCCCATGGGGTGCAGGGCCCAAGCACTTGGGCCATCCTCTACTGCACTCCCTGGCCACAGCAGAGAGCTGGCCTGGAAGAGGGGCAACCGGGACAGAATCCAGCGCTCTGACCGGGCTAGAACCCGGTGTGCCGGCACCGCAAGGCGGATGATTAGCCTATTGAGCCGCGGCGCCAGCCAAGAAATATCTTGAGAATTCAGTAGGCAGAGTCCTTTCACCTACATCTTTCATGTTTAATCCTAAGTGAAGACTGAAAAATATTTCTGTTTATCAAATCCTTACCAGTGCTATGTGACTGTTATTCCAGGTGTTATTATCCACCAAAGTAGTTCTGTTAGCCATTCCAGCTATCTGATAGCCATAATCCCACCAAGACATCACCCGCGCATGTTCATCTGTATTTTGTCTCAGCCAAAAGTAAGCTTCTCTAAAATCATCTAAGATATTCCTCGTGCTGAAAAGAACAACAATATCCCTTTAAATGAGATCTTATAAATGTGAAGTGGATAACTAAAAATCTTGAGGTGCTAAACCACTAAATAATTTCATACTTTAAGGATGATAGTTAAAACAGCTTCCATATAAGGGGAGAAAAATCAACGAAAGCTAGAGTAACGCTTCTCAAGCTAATATGCATACAAAACTCTCACATATCTTATCAAAAGTGATTCTCTCAGTTCTGGGTAGGGCTTGGTCTTCTACAAGTCGAATAAGCTCCCAAGTGAAAGAGAAGGCAGGAGGCCAAGGCAACACGTAAGTTGGCTGCACCCGTCCCTGCTGAACCACAGATTCTTTCTGTGTTCCACTCCCAGGTTTCTGACTTAGCAGGCTTAGTGTGTGACTAAAGTGTGAATTTAGTTGCATGGTAATGATGATACTGTGTGTCATAGACCACACTGAGAAAAACTGAGATCCAAAATGTAGAGCCTCGCGAACAATACTCGTCTTTGAATTCTACCTTTCATAACAAAAGACAAAAAGAAAGGGTGGTTATGAAATCTCGTTGCAGTCAAATTATTTTCCTACCCATCATGATTGTAAGAGGCGAGGACCACACTTGGACTAGAGTAGGCGTTGCTTGTGACCCAGGTACAGTGGACTGCAAACATCATCAGTAACATCAGCATCAACATGGTGACAATGCTTTTTATGTTAGGACCTAATCCCTCTTCAGTTTTCTCCTGTTCAGTTACGTGTTTCCTCACTTTACCTGCCTGAAAAATACAAAACCTGGTTAGACAAATCCATCACTTCAAGTTGGGAGATTGTTAATCTATCACTTTCATTCTATGACTTAGAAAAGGTACAACCATTAGACACTCTTCCATGAGTGATGAAGTGTTTACTAAAAACCAACAAAATAGATTCTAAAATGCCAATTGTTTCCTGGGAATATGCCCAATCTAGAAGCTAGCTCTGTAGCAAAACAGTATCTTCAACAAAAGGCTGCTTTCAAGCCCAGTTGTTCTTATGTTTTAATTAAATACAAAGAAGATAACCAAATGGCTCTATTCCTGCAATATAAAATCTTAATATATAAATCCTTAATTTTAATTCCACATCCTTAAAATAGATGCCCAGCTCTAATCCAGACCACAGAGAGCTTCAGTGTAGGAAAAAGTTGCAGTTGCTTTTTAGAATCATCTTTCAATTTCCAAATCCTAAAACCAAGACTTGTTAAAACTCAAAATTACCTTTCAGAAAACAAAACAAAACGAAACAAAAAACATGACAGCACCATCAAGAAACCCACCAAAACAAGGGAAAGAGGACAGGTCTATGCTCATCAAGTTCCACATTACAAAGCTGGTACAGAAACCATAAAAAAACTGAAAATTAACAACAAACACAAAAACAGATATGTGTCTTATTAAAATAAATCTTTGTGAATTACCCTGATCTTACAATAAGGAAAGAAGTTTCACTGCTTATTACTATTTAAAAATCCATTCTATATATATATGTATATTTTTACAGGCAGAGTTAGTGAGAGAGAGAGAGAGACAGAGAGAAAGGTTTTCCTTCCATTGGTTCACCCCCCCCCAAATGGCCTCCACGGCTGGCACGCTGTACCCATCCGAAGTCAGGAGCCAGGTGCTTCCTCCTGGTCTCCCACGCAGGTGCAGGGCCCAAACACCTGGGCCATCCTCCACTGCCTTCCCGGGCCACAGCAGAGAGCTGGACTGAAAGAGGGGCAACCGGGACAGAATCCGGCGCCCCGACCGGGACTGGAACCCGGGGCACCGTCGCCGCAGGTGGAGGATTAGCCTAGTGAGCTGCGGTGCCGGCCAAAAAACCACTCAATATTAAAAAAAGTTTAATATGTCATCCAAGGCAAGTACTCCAATTTTTACAAGTTTTTCTATACTTGCACCAAATACAATACTGCTGTTATAAATCTGAAAGATAATAGGTTAAAAATGCTTTACATTGTATGGGTGCTTTATTCCTGGTATTTTTCACTAATCAACCAAATATCACTTTGAAACATCTTTCAAATACCATTTTAAAGCTTAGCAGTAAATGTGGACCTCAATGACAAGAACTTATCCACATGGTTTCAAGAGGGGTTGATAATGCCAAATATATGCAATTTAGTAGACTACCAAGTTTTGCTCTCAAAAATGGAAGGTTATTAAAAACTTCAAGGTTTTTGGGTTAACAACTGACCAAAACTAAGAATTTCTTCTATGATTACATTTCTAATTTCTTACTTGAGATAAAAGCCCAAATGGGATTTAAATTTCGAGGCAGTTAAGTGATGAACTAGAAACATATTTTCTCTAAATCCTCGGATTAACCACATTTCTTACATAGCTCTTACAACAGTGAAAAAACTTAAAAAGCACATGAAATTTCTAAAGGTCTTACTTTAATTTCCCACCTTATCATACAAATTTCCTGGATTTCTTTTGTCATCCTCGTCACTGCTGTCTTCCACAGGTGGATTTTCCCTTTTCAAGTCATCCCCCAAATAGTGCTCAAAAACATTTGAGAAGGCAATTGCAGACAGCATACAGACAACTGGAGTCAAAGTCAACATCAGTCGCACCATCACTCCAGCAAAGTAGACAGCGCTGATCGCATACAGAGCAACTGCAAAGACAAATTCTCTTACCACACTTCAGAGTCAAAAATGTTCACAGGAAACTAAACTTGAAAGCTGACACCACAGCACACAAGTCTAAAAGCAGACAACTGTTTCACAAAAGAACTGTTTTTAAATTAGTTAATACCAATCAATTGATTAAGTCATATTTAGAGATAATTAATGTTGAGTAAATAAAACTATACATCAAAAGTACCAAAAAGGGTTATCATGACTAAAATTAGATATAGGGAATTTACACTTAATTTATCATTATTTGTCAACGGCATCATATGAGGGGACTTCAAAAGGCTCAGGGAAAAACAAAATAAAAGATATGTATATATACTTATACATACATATATACATAATAACTTCAACATAACATACATCAAGTTCAAGACATTTCTGTAAGTGATACTAGCTATGCGGTCAATACCTACAGAAAGGAGCATCCTGGGAATTTACCTATGTCAATGCAGTCTTTTTAACATTATTGCATTTTTACATCACTGACTAAGGAGAAACAGGTGTCCTCTACAGAAGACGACAGATAACAAGGTGGATGCCCACTGACTTCCATCCAAACTTTCACAAAGCTGTCACTGTCTGGGGAGAGGAACTGACCAGGGGCACTGTCACGCAGGAGGCCTCTCTGGTGACCCTTCCCAGGAGTCTTCCTGCTGAAGCTGTAGCCAACTTTCTCAAAACTCTCACAAAACAGCGGAGGTCAGGGTTATCTGGCCCACCAGAAAGTCAATCAGAAAAGCCCCTGGAGCAGAAACTCCTGCCATGACCTTTGCTCTTATCTTCTTGCCTTGACTGCACCAGTCCCACCTCTTGGAAGTTCATGCTCTGACTGTGCTGCGTCTTCAGGAATTACACTAATAAAGCCATGTTTCATCTTCTATTAAAGTTCTTCAAGGAACTGTTTCAGGATCTTGATCCCACTTGTTCAAAATTTCCATTCTAAGCATTCTCTCATCTGCAGATCTGGGCACAACAGTTTGGCACCATGCAGCAGAAAGTCTGCTCCACTTTAATTTTTCCATCAGAACTGAGTAAGCTGGGGCTGCATTGTGGTATAGCCAGTGAAGCCACTTCCTGCAATGCTGGCATTCCACACAGGGCTCAGCTCATGTCCCGACTGTTCCATTCCAATCAGCTCCCTGCTAATGGCCTGGGAAAGCAGCAGAAGATGGCCCCTGCACCCACATGGGAGATCCAGATGAAGCTCCTGACTTCAGCCTGGACCAACCCTGGCCACTGCAGCCATCTGGGGAGTGAATCAGTAGATGGAAGATCTCTCCCTCTCTTCAATTAGAACATGAACAAGATTAATCATCCCTTCCCCCAAATTGATGTAGATGCTCTGCCACTGTGAGTTTTCATCTTCAACATAGTCTTTTCGTAAAACAAGTTACCCATTTGTAAACTGCTGATTTGCCACACTTTTTCCATAAACTTTGTGTAAAGCAATGATTTTACCACTTTTCTACCCACACTTCATCACAAACTGTAAGCTTGTTCTTGCTTTACTTTTAACGGAATTCATGTTTCTCTGATAGGGACTCTTTTCAAACTCAGTCTTCTCCTTCCTAGTGTCTCAAGCTAAATCCTGTGCAGACGTAACATGTTAGTAAAAGCCTATTTTGGTGCAAAATAAAACTTGAAATCCATGTATAGCTTTTTCATAATATGCATTTCCATGAACGTTTTGAAGACCCCTTGTACATTATAAAATCTACAGATGACAAACCAAAACATCTGTGAGTTATATCATTAAGGCACAGTTTTGATAAGGCAGTGTCAATATCTCCCAAAAGTGTGCTTTAAATCAAGAAGAGGATGAGAATGTTAAATTATTAATCAAAGGAAGAACCTGTGAAGTTACTACCAAGAAAAAAGTTTCCAACAACCAGAGCCTCCTAGATAACGTGCTAACCACAAGAAAAGGGTTCACCATTCTGGCTAAAGGCTATTACTTTGGACTGTATTTGGACTTACTGGGTTCTGTTATTTTTACTCATATGATTCATTTATTAACTGCCCATTGTATTGCAGTGTATAAATATATAAAAACTTTTTCTTAACCTATTCTCTGCTAACAACCTATGAAACGTTTCTAATTTGGGGCTCTTAGGGATAAAATTGCTATGTGAATTCTTTAATATATCCTTTGTGGCTACATGCACTCTCTTCTCGTGGATATATATTGGGGATGAGATTGCTCAGTTCATTCCTAAAACCCAGGTGGGCATATGTTTAAGTTAAAAAGTTTTCAATTAACATGGCCTTACACAGAGACCATTAATCTAAATAAAATAGAGAAGAATAAGTGTTATGGTTTAGTCAGAACTCTTGTGGCTGCTGTTTTTTCTCTCCAAACTTCACTCTGGAATAACTTGAGGTGTCACTCACAGGAGTGACAAGGTCCATACTTGTTCAAGTCCTAATACTATAAGGTGATTGCTTGTGTGATCCTGTGCACACCACAAAGTTTTTCTCAGCATCAGTTTTCATCAAGCGTAAAACAGTCCAGCATCACCCACTGTGATAATTAAATCACACAGAAGCCTGTTGTTTGCTCATTTTTATCTATTTACATTTTGATTATCAGGTAGCTTTTATTTATTTTAGAGATTTATTTATTTAAAAGGTAAAATGACAAAGAGACAGAGAGATCTTCTATCTGCAGGCTCGCTCGCTCGCTCGCTCGCTCTCTCCAAATGGCTGCTACAGCTGGGGACAGGACAGGAACCAGGGGTCAGGAATTTCATCCAGACTGCCCACATGAGTGGCAGGAACTCAGGTACTTGAGCCATCATCTGCTGCTACTCAGGCACATCATCAGGGAGCTGAGCCGGAAGCAGAGTATCTGACATGGGACAGACATTCACCTCAGGCAGCAACATAAGCCGCTGCACCAGAACACCTGCCCTAACAATTAGCTTGTAAATATTTGGCATTTTCATTCTGTTAGTTGGAAACAAACTACCAATGAGGATGGTGCTCACTCAAAGGTGATCCTCATTCCATTATAAAGTGATCTTTGCTTTGAAACTTGGGAGAATGGATACCACTGAAAACTTCCTGCTACTTAATCAAACCTAACTTAGAAAGTGAAATTGGGCCTGCTGTTACTGTGCAGTGAGTTAAGTGGCCAGCCACCTGCAATACAGGCATCCTGAGTGCAGGTTTGAGTCCCGGCTGCTCTACTTCTGATCCATCTCCCTGCTATTAATGTGTCTGGGAAAGCAGCAGAAGTACTTGGGTCCCTGCCACTCATGAGGGAGACCCAGATGAGTTCCAGATTCCTGGCTTCAGCCTGGTCCAGCCCCAGCCATTGTGGCCACTTGGGGAGTGAACCAGCAGATGGAAGATTTCTGTTTCTCCATCTGTCTCTGTAACTCTGCTTTTCAAATAAATCAATCTTTTTTTAATAGAAAAATTTTAATAAATCTTAAAAAAAGAAAATGAAGTCAACATATGGTGACTACAAAGTTAACATGTCCAACTCTTAAACATAGACTATAGTAATATTAACCTCTCAGAAAACCAAAATATACAAAATGTAAAATTTAGATGCTAGGTCTAAGTTAAACAGCTAATAATTAGAATGTTTATGAGGCAAATTCAATGAATTTTTTCATGTTTAAGCACCTATGCAAAATTAAGAGAAAATTAATCTTGAATATACAGGCTGAAGCAAAGAAAAACCATATTTTACAGTGAAGTAATAATCCCCAAAAGGGAAATAATTTTTCTAAATCAAAGTATTCATTAAAAATCTCTCTTACCAAATACTCTTTCGTCGTTGATATTTTTGATGCAGAACCACAGGCCTGCTGGGAAGGTACATACAAGAATATGTAGATCAAAGAAGAAAGACACCCAAGTCGTAGGCTGATGCTCAGACACTGATGCAATAATTGGAATGTGTATTTTTGCATACCTGGTATTAAAAAAGTTAATATTTTTACAACTAAATGATAAAACAGGAGTTCCTTTTAGATGAAGAGATCATTCTGATTGTAGATATGGTTCCTACTCCATACTCCTTTTTGTTTAACTGGACATTCCAATGGAAATATGTTTGGTTCACACTAGTAAAACTGATACTAGTATGTCCTGCATAAAACTGAGAGAATTATCTAGAAACCATCATAAAACTATTGCCTTTGGCTTCTAATACAAAAATCTTTGCTCAAATTTGCAGTTTATCTCAACATCTCCAATATTTATATCAATGAATTTGAAGTTTTAGAATTACCTGAGGGAGAAATACCTTACTGAGTAAGATACCACATTGCTACAACGCTTTGCTTTTGACAAAGAGCTGGCATGGACGAAGGTGAAGGAATTGGAAAGGAATAGACAAATTATTCCTGAAATATCTTGAGACTCCAACATAGTCAAACTTTAGAGAGTGCAAAAAGCAGGATCAAGTATAACCAACAAACGCCAAGCCAGTGATTTAACCTAATCAGAATCCTCTGCAACTGGGGCTTTCCCTCAAACCCTCCAGTGATCCAGAGGACGAACTCCTGGAAGCATGTGCACAACTGTTAGTGTCAGTCATCTGCTTATGTCCTTTACATCAACCTGGACATGAGCCTTTTTGGGATCACATCCAAAGGTGTGTTCAATAAACTGTGGTAGGCTTCTATTGGGTCCCCCAGAGAGTAACAAAAGAGACAGACCTGCAGGAAGGGAGGGAGGTAAATTATCACCCAGTACTTTCCCAACCTTTAGGAAAATATCTGAGATTTACAAGTTCTGTTGGAATGGCTGTGCAATTTAAAAACCAATGTTTAAAAAATGTTTAGATAGTAGCATTCCAAAGAGAAATGCAACAGATATTCATTAGTGTACTGCTCAGATGAAAAACAAAAATGAAGAAAAAACCAGAAACTTGGATCATGAGGTATTAGAAACAAATTGTTTTCTTCGTATCTATGGCATATAGCCTTGTAAAGTAGCATCTCTCCTTAACAATTAGCATTAAGAGATGAAAATTTTATATATAGACAAAAGTACAAACATTATCTGAATGTTTCAACAAACAATATTAAAATAAGGAGCTGGTCATGCAGAACAGAAATACAGGACTAAAAGCACATTCAAAATAAGTATTATATATGTATCCTATAAAAACACATCTACATATACCTTTTAGGTACTTTAGAAATGCTTCCCAAATGCTGATTAAAATGCTAACAAAGCAAGAACAGAGAGAGGAGCAAAAAGAGTAATATAATACGAAGTCAAATAACTTATCTGCACTTACCCAGTGTCCCACAAAGAATAAAACCTTCCACTCCATGGTGCAATGTAACCTTGGAAGGAAAAACGCCAACAACTTATTTTATTATTGTTTTGGCTTTTTCAGTTTATTGTTACTTATGGATTTATTTAAACTAATGCTCAAAGAATTTCAGTTTTCTTTTATAGGTACTAACATATTCATATGGCCAGCAGTTAGTTAATAAGGTAGTGAACCAAGAAAACTAAATCCGTGGAGATCTTGTTTCCACAGAAATACACACTTAAGTTCACAGATAAAATGCCTTCCAATTCTCTCAAGTTTTTATTAGCAAAGAAGGTAAGACGTTATCAGATAATTTTAAAATGGTGAGGTATCCAAATGACACAATCCAGAATGCTAAAGCCTACCAAATAATTACAAAAATGCTTTTCACATTAATACTGTTTATTCTTGTCAGTTCTTCATGATTTTATGAGCTATGTATGCTGCTATGTTAACTTGAGAGATGGAATATGTGTAGAAAGAATTTAATATGTTTCTAAGGAACAATGAAATAAGGATAAGAAACTCGACTGAAACTGACTGGGTTCACTATTTACGGGAAGAGAAAATATATGTACACAAGAGAGATGAACATGTAGCAGGATTAACACTAGAAGTTCCGATTTTTTTTTTTTTTTAAGTTTAGGCCTTTTCATCCAACAGGAGGAAGTGTGAATGTGGATTTATGAGAATCTGCTGCAGCAGAAATAACTTTGGTTTAAAAAAAAAATCAGAATTCGTAGAAATACTCTTCAGATTTTAAAACTTTGATTATTCTTTTTATTTTGCTCATACAGAAACCCACCACAGTATCTGACCTACTAAGATAAATGGAATATGTAAAAATTTCATAGAAGCAGCTTTTTGAATAATAATCTAGATGCAACTCATAACCAACAAGTTATGATACCTACCTGTATATGTCAGATAGATGACACTAAGGAACACAGCACCAGCAGCCAGCGATACACCCAAAAAGAAGAGAGTCTGGAATTCTTGTTTTGTTAATCTGTCTCTCAGATATTGCAAGAAAGCATAAGCTTGTAGCAAAGCAAAGACACCTAATTAAAGAAACAGGTCATATAAATAATGAACCAAACACTTTTATAAGGCATTTAAAAACTTCTATTTGAAAGAGCTCTTACAATACTCTGAGCCATTCATACCAGACTAATTATTTCATCTTGTTAACATCTCATTCCTTTCTCGAATGAATTAAATAGCCAATTAATATGTTCAAAAAATTCCATTACACATTACTTCATAATGATCAGAGTCCCCACACTTGCAAAAGACAAAAGAAATCCTATTTGAATGATGGAAGCCTATTTAACATATTCAGTTCCTTCCTTTCCCTTATCTTATAGTGACATGGTGAGGTGGAGAGATAAAATTGTCACTTATAATTCCAAAAATGTGCTTTCCTGAAGGATTCAAATGACCTGAATCAGGAGAATTCTGAACTCCTTACTTTTCAGAATGAAGAGCAAGATGTGTGATAGGATGTGACGAGTGAATGAATGAATGGTAGGCTGTGACCTTATATACACGCTTCAATAAATTTCCAATTTAGAGCTGGAGTTCAGGACATGCGAGCCTGAAATATAGCATTTGTGAAAACAGAACGTCCCCTGGAACAGGTCATAAAAGAATTCTGAATGCCCTATAGGAAACTCATAAGCTCCTCCTTCCAGAGGGACCCACCTGGTACCATAAGAAATGGATGAGGATACAGATGGCCAGGAACAGTTGAACAAATAGGACTGGCCAACTTTTCCTCAGTTTATGACCATTAGATAGCACATCATTTTTTCTAACTACACTGGTACACGACTGTCTACTTTCTCCTTGTATTTTAATTTCCCGTGTCATGTAAAACCTATACTAATATTAAATAAACCTGTATGCTTTTCCGTCATTAAACTGTCTCTTGTAAAGGGGTCTCCGTTATTCGCCTTATGACACTGAGAAAAACATACTAATATTTTCTTCCATACATCAGTAAATATAAAGGTGAACACAAAGGTAAAAATTAAAGCAACAGAAGAAAATTATACGTAATTGACAAAATGTACAAAACGTTATACAAAAACACTAGGTGTAAATCTTCAAACAGGCTATGAGAACCATAATCCATCTGAAATACTGATTTTTTAAAATAAATAACCACAAGAACTTTAAAAAATCCATTTTAGGTTAAGTATGCATTATCAAAGATTCCAATTTTGGAAATATAAAGACAGGCGATTGTGTATCTATATAGCATTGCCATACATTTTTCAACACTGAATATATATTTCTCTATCAGAAAATATTCCATGGTTTTCAAAGTGCTATAAAACAGCACAGTAGAAGTTACTACCTTTCTTAGCAAGGGGGTGAAGGATGGTTCAAGTTTTACTGAGAATCTGACGATAAATATTGTGGGATATCACTTCAAAAAGTTATATAATGCAGATTGGCATTTATAAAATGTGACAAGTAAAATGACTACCCATGGACTTCCTTGTACTGAGAATCTCTGATAAAATTTGACAGATATCCCATAATTGTGACTAGGGTTATTTGGTGATTGCTGAAAATTAAAAACCACCACCACCTAAGTATTAGTAAAAACCTGTTATTTCCTTGGAATACTGGCCAATCATACATTCACATATTCTTTTAGAAGAAGGAAAATAAGCGTATTTTTTTAATACCTGCAGCTGCCATGTGTTCACTTGTTCTGATTGGCTGGAATCCCACAAAAGGTATTTGCATGGATAATATTAAACCCACAATGTAGAAGGTGCTATATGCTAAAAAGACAAAATAAAAAAAAAGGATAGTTTACTACCATTAAGTTTTGAAAACACATGCACATGCACAAATCTTTTTTAAACCACAGTTCTCAAGAACTTACTTTAAGAACAGAATCTTAGAGCGAATGCTAATGCATTTCTTAGCCACACGATAAATCACGAACAGTCTGTCCAGTCGTAAAATCTTAAGTACCTTATTTTAAAAAACATGATTTATAATAGTTTAGGAGACTTGAACTGCCTTCCTTTCCCACAAATGAATTAACTTTTTTTCCATCTTCCATCAATAATCATTGACATGAACTAAGAAGCCATGTAATATACATGAAGGAATTTCATAGAGATTATAGAAAATGTAATAAGAGAAGTTAATTTAGATGCAAACAATTTGAGATCCACGTATAAGAAGGTGGAACGAGTAGTTGGCACAGCAGCTGAGAGGCCAGCATCCCATAGCAGGGTGACTGGGGTTCAGCCTCTTCTAGCCCCCTGTCGCCCACGCAGGAGACTCAGGCTGAGTGCTGGGTCCTGACTCAGCCTGGCCCACCCGCAGTTGTTGCAGGTATTCAGGGAACAAACAAGCAAATGGAGATTTCTTTTTATCTGTCTTTTTCTGCCTTTCAAATGTCTTTCAAAAAGTTAATGGAAATGTATCAATGGAAAGAACGAGGCAAGGATTTCAAAAAATTCTGAATCAGTAAATGTGAAGTGAGAAATATTTCTTCCAGGTATTAACCCAAAATATATATGACCTAATAAATACGTATGTGAGAACTTGCTATTATCTCAAAAGCTCTCAGGTATTTCACAACTTGTTTATAATCTCACAGTATTTTCTGCATAATATTCACAGGTTAAAAAAAAATCCCATATCCACCAAGCTTTCAGTGATTAAAAGAAAAGAACTAAATATAGGTATGTTATTGAACTTAGTGTTTTTTAAACGAATCTTAGTTGTTATTAATACTGAGTATTACTACAATATTCCATTCTCAGCTTATTTAAATGTATACATTGGGGCCACCACTTGTAGTGCCGGCACCCAACATGGGCGCTTGGTGTTTGAGTCCTGGCTGCTCCACTTCTGATCCAGCTCTGTTATAGCCTGGGAAAGCAGTAGAAGATGGCCCAAGTCCTTGGGAGCCTGTAACTGTGTAGGAGACCCAGAAGAAGCTCTGGCTCCTAGCTTCCGATCAGCCCTGCTCTCTGGCCATTACAGCCATTTGGGGAGTGAACCAGCAGATGGAAGACCTCTCTCTCTGTGCCTCTGCCTCTCAGCAACTCTGCATTTCAAATAAATAAATAAATAAATTTTTAAAAAAGCTGTATACTTAAATTCAGGGAGAGGTTATAGCTTGTGTGAAAGACTTGTTTTGTGTTTACATATTCAGATCGCTATCAGACAAGTTGCTCAAGGATAAACTGACCACCTGGAATCACTGTAATAACATTATTAGAAAGCAGGCCATCTCTGTGCACTGTGCACTAAACAGCGTGGTATATCTTCAGCCTACAATCTCTTCACCCAAGTTAGATGATAAAGAATATTTATTTGCTTTTAAAAGAATCCCAGGGCCGGCGCCGTGGTGCAGTAGGTTGATCCTCTGCCTGAGACGCCGGCATCCCATATGGGCGCTGGTTCTAGTCCCGGCTGCTCCTCTTCCAATCCAGCTCTTTTTTTTTTTTTGTCTTAAACTTTTTAAAAAATACACTCTTTGGCTTCCTTTTATTTCTTTGAGGATTACATGAAACGTGAAGCACACAGGAATGGTCCCCGGGGGGCGCCGGCAGCCCCTGCCAACTGCCTGCTGTCCGTGGCCACCTGTGCGTGCCTCGGCCGTCCCAGCTCGGCCCTACTTGGAGGAGGTCATGAAGCTGTTCTCGATGCAGAGGACGGCGTAGGCAAGGTGGCAGCTCACGGCCGTCTGCTCCAGCAGTCTGCCCGCCAGCAGCAACAAGGCCTGGCCTGTGGCCGTCAGCGCTTCTGTCCGCCCCGTCTCGCAGTAGCTGTTGGTCAGCCTGCGCCCGCTGGGGTCCGAGCCATGCTACACGCTCTTCTGGGGCCAGGCTGGGTGCCGCAGGATGTCCCGGCTGTCAAAGGAGAAGATGCGGGCTCCCGGCCTCAGCTGGCCCTGGGTGCCTGAGAACAGGGCCTCCCAGCTGGGGGACAGCTCCTTGTCCTTGAGTTTGACCACGGGCAGCTCCCCGCGGTCAGCACGGCGCACAATGGCCAGGGAGAGCAGTGGAGGATGGCCCAAGTCCTTGGACCCCTGCACCTGCCTGAGACCAGGAAGAAGCACCTGGCTCCTGGCTTCAGATCAGCACAGCTCTGTTGCGGCCACTGGGGAGTGAACCAACGGACGGGAGACCTTTCTGTTTCTCCCTCTCACTGTCTGTAACTCTACCTCTCAAATAAGTAAATAAAATATTTAAAAAGAAAAAGAATCCCATCTACAGAAGATAAATCATGGATAATGGGCTCAAATGTTAAGCTGCCTCCTAAGCTATCTGATGAGAGATGGTTACAATGTTAGGCAAAGGGTAAGAAGCTCACTGATTTAATAGGATGGATCAAAATATGTCAATCATGCTTCTCGTGACCTCAAGCTATCTAAAGAAAACGACACATGTAATCTACCCATCAATGTACTTCCACACATATTAATGTTGGAATGGAATTACCCTCTACATGAAACTTGAACCCAATGAAAATGAAGAAAATAAGAATCTCTGTCATGATACGAATTGTCAACCAATTTGGTTGATAGGTCTTGTATTAATGTTTCTTTTACAAATCAATCTCATGTTGAAGCCTAAACATAGAGTCACAGAGGCAGAATCAGAAAAAAAGGGAAACAAGATCTCAAACAATCACTTAACAACTTAACACACAAGTTTGTTTTCTTACAACAAAATGAGAATTGGACAAAAATTTTAAGATCCCTCCAACTACAAGGCCTTTAAGATAAATCCAGAGTTGAGAAAACAAGCCAAGACAAACGTTGGACACGCCACAGCACAACTAGAGAGACTAGCCCTGACAGTATCGTACATCATCTCTGGGTGTTCGTTATGGTAAAGTCCACTTGTATCCAAACATCACTATCACTAGAGGCTGCATTTCTCTTACTTATAAATACGAATGAACACTGAATGCTGTAGCACTGTCACAGTATTTGGACTCGATTTTATGACAAATATTGCAAATTGACTATAAACAAAGGAAAGAGGTAAAATTCATAGAACACAACCATTTTAGAGTGAACAATTCAGGGACTTTAGTACACTCACAATGTTGTGCATCCACCACCTCTCTCCGGTCTTGAAATATTTTCATTACCCCCAAAGAAATACCACACTTACTAACAAATTGCTCTCCCTTCCCCCATTTTTCCAGCCCATGGTATCTACAAATCTGTATCTAGGATTACTAGGTGACTTTAACTTCAAAGGTAAAAAAAAAAAATTTTTTTTTAAGAACATAAAAACTAGAAGTCTTCACTCCATTTATTTCCCTCTACATCCCATTCTCCAGTAATAAACACTAGAAGGTATAGAGGCATAGACACATTCATTATCATATTCTCTTTTCAAGTGGGATCACACTTTGCTTGACAATGTAAGTATTTCAGTAATCATTTGCTTGATAAATAGAGTTCCTTCTGAGACATAAGCTTAAGTTCATTTCCAGGCAAACACAAAGGGAGAAAAATAAGCCTGATAATATTCACAAATCAACACTTTTATGCAACTTTGCAGGAACATTCAATTTCATTAGTAAAGAAGAAAATACTTTATAGAAGCAGATGTCCTGGAGTTGAAGTTAATAATAAGTGATGGAGATGGTTCAAGAAAATATAGGCAATCAAAAAGCCAGGTGGGACTTTATTTGTATCACATCATAAACATAGCTTAATGTCAAATAAAGGTGAATTAACAGAAATAGACAAGGTTTCAAATATATGGTACCATTGAAACTATCCCTATTAGGTTCATTTATACCTGCTTACATGCAACAATGAAACAAATCTAATAAATGTGGTATCTGCAAAAATTCAAAGATGAGCATTTTCCAGAAACTAGACCCAAATCATTCCCATTTTTTTGGATCAATGATCCTGAACCGTTTACATAGGGATGCGAGTCCTCCAAACCACAGAAAGAAACAAACAAGGGGCCAGTGTTGTGGCACATGCAGTTAAGCAGCAGCAGCATCCCGTGAGTACGGACTGGGATCCTGGATGATCTACTTCCAATCCAGCTCTCTGCTAATGCACCTGGGAAGACAGCTGATGATGGCTCAAGTGCTTGGGCCCCTGCTACCCTTGTGGGAGACCAGGATGGAGTTTCAGGTCCTGGCTTCACCCAGTACAGCTCCAGCTGTTGCAGACATTTGGGGAGTAAAAGAGGATGGAAGATATCTCTGTTTCTCGGTCTCTCCCTCTCTGTTAACTTTGTCTTTCAAATAAATAAAATAAAACTTTAAAATAGGAACAATTATAAAAAAAGAAACTAGCACATCAATAAAAATGGAGAAATAATTCAAGTCTTAAACACAATGTATCCCCACTGTTTTTCTCCTGACTTTGTATTATAGCACTTAATACTTTGAATGACTTAACCTATTCATTTGAACATTAACTTTACATGCACGATGGTCAAGTCGTTTTAAAAACAGAAAAATCTATTATCATCAGTCCTTTCCTCTAGGAGCTGGTAAAAGCAGAGATGTATACAACCATAATACAATGAAACAAGTATATGCAATATTGGTGGAAGAAAAAAATGCCCTATAGAAATTTAAACAGGGTTTGGGGGAGCTCTCTTCTGCTTTTGACAGGGGTATGCAAGAGGCAATTGACAACAAATATATTGATCTCTAATGGTCTCAAAAAACTCCCAACAGAAATCCATAGCAATCATCCTCCACCAATTCTTAAGAACTCTCTAGAAACCCTGGCCAAACTATTATCCCTGAACTACTCCAACTTTCTAAC